GATTTATTTTTATGGAATTTTTTTTTTTTTTTAACCGTTTGAGGAAGCTTATGAACAAACAGTAAATGCTGTCAGCCACTCTGTAGTTTGGGCTGCATGTCCATCACAGTGCTTTGTGAAAACTTTTTCTCTGGCTGACACGTTAGCAGGCTGGGCCTCTGTTGCTTTCCTACCAGACCAGAACTACTGCCCAAGTACCATAGGCAGGTGGTCTCCTCCAGGAGAGTGCATTGTAGGCTGGCCTCACTGAGTCTGCCTCCACAGTGAGTCCATAGCAACTTTGCTGGGCTTCCTATTCCTAGTTCTTCGAGTTTATTCTAAGGCCAAGCAAAAGTAGGCCCCTAAAGTCTTTTACTGGTTGTTCTTAGGGTAATAGGTATCTGGGTGCAGGTCATTGGTGGGGTAGTTGTACACAAAAGCCAGTGGTGGAGTGGGCCAGGTGACAACTTTATAATCAATGTCTTTCCTGTGCTGGGACCTAGACCAGGACCACACATGTTAAGTGCTTTACCAAAGAAATTAGGAGTTAAAGATTGTTGTAACTGCTAGTAAAGAAGGAGTGAGGGTGTGTTAACTGGCTCCCTCTCTTCCTAATGCTACAGCCCTTTAATATACTTCCTCCTCATGTTGTGGTGACCCACAACCATAAAATTATTTATGTTGCTACTTTATAACTGAATGTAAATATCTGTGTCTCTGGATCTTTGGGCTTCATGACTCATGGGTTGAAAACCACTGCTTTAGATGCAAGTGTCCTGTATAGTTGGTTTTACTTCGCTGTATACATTCTTCTTTCTGTGCCTGTACCTGTAGACAAACCCTCCAGGAGGACAGAGCCACCACTCACTTGACTGAAGTTCAGTGATGTGAAAGGAAAGCTTGAGCAACTGGGTGCAAAGACCTAAGAGTAAAGTTACTGGAAGATTTGAGGAATCCCATAGCCCAGGGCAGGTTCTATCTTATCTCTCCTGCCATCTTACCTGTTCCCTTTCTTATTCCAGTTAAACCAGTGGGAAGAAGCACAAAGAACAAAAACATCTGTGTGCTATTTTTTTGTTGGGTGGGTGAGTGGTAATAGTTAAAGCAGTGCTTAGAAGATTTGTAGCTTTCAGTGGTGTCGTTGGTGTAAGAACCATATCCAGTGGGGTGGCACACGCCCTTAATCCCAGCACGAGAGGCAGAGGCTGATGGATCTTTAGGAGTTTAAGGACAGCCAGGGCTACATAGAAATACAAAATAAAAAAGAAGGCCTCCTGAAGATTTGGGGGAGGGGTTTAGGCTGAGGGAGCTGCCTAGTTTAAGCACTGAGTAACTCAACTTCCCTTTAAGAAGAAGACAAATAAGACTGGTGGTTTTTACTTGCTGAGTTTTATTAAGATATTGGCAAATTTTCAACATACTCCTTACCTGAATAAACAGTTTTAATAAATAAAACATGAAGGATCACTTATGATTACAACTCAACTCAAAAGTGATCTGTAGAGCAGGTTTGTAATGTAACTTCACTCACTTCACTCCAGAGAGAATTCTTTGCAGAGAAATGTCAAATGTTATGAATAAGAGAAAGCTTGTCTCTCAGCAAAGAGCACCTAGAGAGAGTACAATGATGTATCTGCATTATCTAATACATCAGAGTTAATTAAAAGTATTTCCTTTGCAAGAGTTACTGCTGTGTCAGTGGAATCCCCTGCCCTCCCTCATGTTTCAAATTAGTGGAATAAATAGGCTTGAATGGCTAAAATGCTGCTGGAGACTGCAACAAGAGTATCCAGTACTATTTGTCTGGATGTTACAATACTGGCAGTATCATTTGTTTTGAAAAAAAAAAAAAAAAATCTTTTCATGATCAAAACAAAGAGTATCTTATCCTGGCTTTGAAAGGTGAAGACATATTTTAGTAATTTATGATTCAAAGAAAATTTTCCCAAACAAACGTTTTGTAGCCTTAGGTGAAAAAGATCATTGAGCAAATTAAGTTTAAAAATTAAAATAACTTAGACCTTTTTTTGACAAAACTTGAGTAAGCCTTTGATGGGGAGGAAGTACTTGAAGCACAGCAGTTTACCTGCAACACTGGAAGCATCATGCATCATTTTCATCTGCCCCTTTGATGTTGCACTTCTTACAATGGAGTGTGGTGGTCGTCATGGAAATGCAGTGTTGTTACCACATAATGTGGTCAGGGTTAGAGTTAGTGTTGACATTACTGACATTGTCCTTTGAAACAGTGCTGCTTTCAAGGAGCCTTCTACTTAAATTAAATGCAACGTGGACTCTAATTGTATTACTTCAAGGACAATGGATGGCACTTGTAGGTACAGAAAAGGTATATACATGTTTTTCTGTCTGACTTCTGTTGTACAGACATAAAGAGAATTAATAGCTCCAGTATTTGGTGCTGTAACGTTGCCAACCTCAGATGTCCTTCCCAATATACATATCTAAAAAGGAAAACCTTTTCAACTAGGGACGATGCCCTTTGCAACTCACAGTGAATGTACAAGGAGTAGTAACCTCGGTTGGTGACTTGACTGCTTTCCTATCAGATACTACACTGTCTTGTTTATATTGGTTTTGCTATTTCCTACTTAACAAAACTGTTTTAGCAAGCAAACAAGTTGATGCAGATCGTGTTAAAAGGTGACACTGCCACTCTTTAAGGATCGAGTGTAGAACTTCACCACCACTAAGTTGCACAATGAAATAGAGGTACAAAACACATAATTCACAGACTATACCTCAGCATTTACAGTTAATATATATTGTATAGATACTTTTATATCTCTCTAATATTTTTACAATCACCAGATACAACGTCATTAAATATAAGTTACAGAAATGTATAGATACCATTAGTTAGAGGGTTACTTATTGCTTACATTAGCAAGCAGCAAATAAGGGCAGAGGATTTGAACTGAAGGGAACTACTTCCTATCACCAGTGGCATTAAGGTTTAACACTGCATTTCACAAAGCACTGCTTCTTGTCTGGTTTATAGAACCAACAGCAGCATCTATCAGGCCAATAACCACTACTTTATTATTATAGAATGTTAAAAGACTTACCTTACAAATGGTACCTAACTACCCTATAAATACGCACATTGTGAACAAATGAAGTTATTTTTTACAATATTGGTTTATTAACTTGACCACACTAGAAGTACTTTTCTCTATTTTCTAGAGAGCTAATGGTATGAGAAATGGAGTTAACACTGCTGTGTAGTCAGACCTACAAAATCCAGACCTTTCAAAATGGGTCTGTTTGTCCCAGTTTCATCCACCCATTTTTTTTTACCCCACTGATAAAAAGCCTATTACCTCAGAGTTCGTTCTTTCTCCTCATGCTGATCGGAATTATTACCAACAGATAAAACATAGAAAAAAAAATTTAAATGTACTTAGCTACTTTGGGATATGATGTTCTGCTGCTTCTGTTTTCTTGTTTCATTAGAAATTTGATTTGGAACTGACCCTGAATTTGATGGGTTGGCAATAAGATCTGGGCTTTAAAAAATGACAGACGTGAATGAGGTCCAAGTAGAGGGCAGAGCATCAGAAGGATGATGAACTAACACTGTTGAGGGGAGCCACATTTATTCCTTTTCACCTGTGTGTCACAAGACTGGAGGGGAAGAATTAATGGCTCCAAGGCCAACAGAAAACAAATGCTGTAGATCAACAGTGTGATCACGGCTGAAGAGAAGCTGGGTTTTGGTAGGTAGCTCTACCATTACCTGTGATGTGTACAGCCATCACTGTCTCTGAAATTTGGGGATCCTAGGCCTCTGGGTCTGGAGAATGCAACATGAATTGTGTTACATAGAACATAATTGGGCAGTGGCTGGGCCTCAGCAAGAACACTAGCAGTGCGTCCATTGTACTAGCAGTGGCTCTAGCAGCTGGTCCTGTCTGTCGGCCTGGCTGGCCCAGGGTGATGGCCTGGGGAACATGGAAACAGTCGTGACTGAGAGAAACTCGGCTGCCTCATTGAACAAACATTATAGTGGATTTGCTGTCTCTCTGCTTTGAAACTAAAAATGGCAAAAGGTAGACGGTTTAAAACTATAACTTAAGTATTGAAATGAGAAGCACATGACCTGTCACTGCAGTCTGAAGCGGGGCTGGACACTGGCTCATCTTCCAGTTAAAACTGGATGGCCCTGGCTCTCAGTGATCTGCATTCTCCTCTGCACTTGGCCTCTGGGTCACACTCAACCTCCTTCATACCAATTACTTCATTCCCTTGGGGAAAACAATTTTAGAGAAGTTAAAACTATCATTTTTTTTTTCATTCTCCAAACTATATTTTACATTATAGTAATATATGCCTTTGCTGTCTGTAAACTTAAAAAAAACAGAAAATATAGAAATGCTATTTTCACAACTCTTTTCAAATAACGTTTGAATCTAACATGGTACCTGACATCATCTCTGTTAAACCACTTTATTCCTGAGATGAAGGTACTGTGAAAAACATTAGCATCATAGGTGATAACCAGCTGACGGTGGTCTCCTAAAATGATGAGTAACAGAATTCCACCAAAAGCACCATAACAGGTTATGAAACTCTCAAATAACTAAAACCTTAAGTATCTTAATTAAAAATGTTCATAGTTGCCTTTCATTTTCTGTGAAAAATTAGTAAATTATCTTACTGTATACGCCTCCCAAGTCTGAGTACATGACACTTTGGTACTGGTTTACTGCATCTTTCATCAGCAGTTAAGACCCATGTGGCTTTTAGTCTTTCATCTACCCAAACAATTGGGAAGGGATCCTTCATAGTCCCCAAGATCTTGAGGGACATTTCCCAACAAAATTGAATTCTGCATTGTTTCCTTTAGATTAGGCACATTAGACCACATAGTTGCGATTTCCATACCATATATTCTGACTGGAATAACTTTCAAGCTTCCACTAGTGACATGAAGGGATGGTGGAGAGGGGGCTATGTGTAGGTTTAGAGACACATCACAGGGACCAGTTGAATAATTTTGCTAGTGAAACCGCCAATACTTTTTTAAGATTGAAAACACTATTTTGAGTTTCCTAAAGATCTATGTACACTTAAGGATTGAGCCATCCGTGGATTCATAATGAAGCACATGAATGTTAAAAATGTCTACCGTGTTTCTACTCTGATAGTTATATTTTTGAGAGAGCCTAGCTAGCCTACATTGAAGAAAAAGTCTTATATTTTATAGCTCCAGGGAAGGTCTGGGCATGGAATATCATTATGCTTTCTAATCTTCATGTTTCCACTGCATCCTTCCCAACTATTTTCTCTCCATGGCAAAGAACTTCGTAACATCTTGTTTCTCTTCCCACTTCGAGTGAGTGAGGAGAGGCTAACACCTATTTTGTGAGAAGGCTCTCGAGCAGAAAGAAATGAATAAAACTTTGGATTAAACCTGAATACACGCTGCCTTTTGGAGTAGTGGTGGCGTAAACGATACAATCTAGACGCTGCTTTCCCCAGGGATTTGAACTGTTCATTTTCCAACCCAGGACAAACAGGAGACAAGCTCTCCATTCTGCATATCTGTTGCCCTGTTGAACCCAAATTAAAAGAAGCCAGAAACTCTCCAGCACCACTCCGTTCAGGCAATGATGACTTGACTGATTTTTCCTCCTCCATTATTAGCTCATTAAGATCTGCTTTCTTTGGTGCACCAGGACCAATCATCTCAACTGGTGGCAAAAACTGGGTACTGTGAGGTTTGCTTGCTTCTATCTGTGTGAGGTCTAGGTAGTCTGGGTCTTCCAGCACGTTGATCTGGGGCCCTGGGCTGAGGCTAGTTCTATCAGTGAATGAGTCCACGCGCCCCTCATAGCCTAGATCGGCTGGTGCTGAGCACTGGTGCTGAGGCCAAGGGCGTTTGCACTCTCCATGATTCTCCTTATCATCCCCACCATCTTCTTGCCCTCCTTGAAAAGAGTTCTCTGTCCAATCTGATTCCTCACTAACATTTACAGCTTTGTTCATGTCCCTCAGGAATACCACAATAACAGTGATGTTATCACTTGACCCAGCATCACGAGCGGATGCTACTAATTTGTGGGCAACCATGCTGCTGTCTCCGTTATTTTCTTTCAAGTGGTCAGACACAACCTTTACTGCCTCATCAGGGTTCACGGTGTCATAGAAGCCATCACAGGCCAGAATGAGGTAGTCTTCAGTCCCATCCAGAACAGTGGAGGCAGAATCTGCATCTCCACAGATATATGGCTTGTGTTCAGCGTCTCCTGTGGAAGTAGAAGGGAACACAGTCAGAACGCAGGCTGTGGCTCACCTAAATTTTTAGGATGCTTATGTTGGCACTGTGATTAGTTACCTTAATGGGAAGTTTGTATTTAAAATTGTAATTGAAACACTTGACTTGTATATTACTTTGATGTTGCTTATGCTTGAATCCCAATTGAAAAACTGCTTGTTACTGGCCTCGATTCCTCATCCGTTTTATACTCTTGACCCTGTGCCTCTGACTACAGTTTAGGCTTTGCTGACTTAAGCAACAAATTGCATCAAATCCAAATTTGCTGCTGTACTGAAAATATCAGTCATATATAGGAGAAATCTTGGTTCAGTAGTTCTGTTTGGTTTAATTACAACTTGAGAATATTGAAGGGGAAAAAAAAAACCCTGGCTGTTCTGGCTGTTTTCCTCATTAAACAGAGTGATCCCCAAAGCCAGGGAAGCTGGTGGACTTGTGCACAGTCCCACACATGGAGCTGGGTGTGTTACATTGGCTGCTCTGTTGTTCTCTACTTGGCTTCTCTTTGATGCTGCTTTGTTCAGTGGGTGAAGACCAGACAGAAAGCCCACAGCAAGTGGGACAAGTCTTCTTGTCTTCACAGATGACCCACTTGTGCTGCCCTTGTTTACCCCTGATGCCATACACTTAGTAACGACAGAAGCAGACCCAAGGCAGTGTTAGGGAGTGATGTCCAACAGGCTAGAGGCCTTGAGCCCACAGGTTTCTCTCGCAGCTGCTGAGATCACCCATCTTCTACAATGCTTTCAGAACCCCAAGATGCAGACACTACCATGTTCCTGCATTGTTTTCATCTGTTGTTTTCTGTTAGACACTTGGAGAAGTGTCTTAAATGTTGAGGATAACAGCCCTGGAGATCAGACTGCCTGCCTTCCGAACTTGTTACCTACACAGTTCTCATTAATTACCACCTTCTCCGTTGCACTAAAAATGGTGGTTAGTTCTTATGTGTCTCAGTGAAGAACTGCCTAGATCAGGCTGTGGTTTGTAGGCATGCCTATGAGGGATTTTTTTATTTTCCTAATGAGGTTAATCGAAGTGACAAGATGCAGCCCACCGGTGGGCAGTACCTTTCCCTGGGCTTAGGTCTTGGATTAAAAAGTAAGCTAAGTACTAGAAGCATTTATACACTTGCTTGGCTTTCTTCTTGACTGTGGGTATGATGTGACTAGCTGTCTCAAGCTCATGCTGCTATGATTTTGACAGTGTGATGGACCAGAACCTGGAATTGAGCTAAACTAAATCTGTTTGTCATGTAACTTGCTAGTTTTCAGGGTATTTTTCACAGCAACAGAAATGAAGCTAGGACTTACTGTGTAATTTACTGTTTCTAGTATCTGCTGTAGGGAACTTCTTGCCTAAGATTTCTTTCAAGCATGTCAGGCTCAGAATAGTTCAATAGGAACTGTGGGTAAGCTATAACAGTGTGGGCTATATGCTGTATCAAACAAGTTGAGTAGCTAGATACCAGGGAAATGGATACTTGCAAATATAATTATTTAGGTTAATGTATCTGTAAATAAGAAACAGGGCCTTTTGATCCTATATATTCCCAGCTTCACTCCCTATTCTCACACATATAACTACCCTCCCCACTTTTTTGTAACCATCATCCACTAACCTCCCACTTCCTGCCCCCCCACCCCAAGACAGGGTTTCTCTGTGTAGCCTTGGCTGTCCTGGACTCACAGAATGGCCTTGAACTCACAGAGATCTACCTGCTTCTGCCTCCCTGAGTGCTGGGTGGTTGAGATTTTTTTGTTTTTTAAGTCAAGGTCTCATTCACATAGCTCGGGATGGCCTCCAGCTTGCTTTGTAGCCAAGGCTGTCCCTGAATGCCTGATCTTCTTGCCTCTACCTCCTAGCTGCTGGAATGACAGGTGTGCATCAACATTGTCACCTCTGAAAAGCATCGTTTGATTTCACTTCTTACTATAGACTGTTGAAGCTAATTATAACTTCTGAAGATAGGATTCAGTGTCCCCCATTAGTCCACTTTATTTCATTTCCCCTATTCTACCTGATTGAAATACTATTTTTCTGAACTCTGCTTCTAAAAATAAATGTGATCTGAGTCATACTGTTCCAAAAAAATCTTGTTTTAGTGCTAACAATTAAAAGACTATTGCAACTGTTGGTTTAGAACAGAGCATACAAAGATTTACACAGAGGAAACACTGCCAAGATTCTGGCTTTTCACCTGCTCTCATGTTGAGTGTCAGATTCATGACATTTCACCCCCAAATTTGGTAGGAGGGCATAAACATCATTTCATGATGGAAATGGCAACATCCTTTTGTCTTCAACCTCCTCTCTCCATATGCTAAAAAACATACATGCCTCTGTCAGCTTTGGCTCACAAATGGAGGATTCATGTGGTGAAGCAATTGAAAACCTTTTTATTGTCAGAGCTTTTAAGTGTCATTTGCTTTTTAGGTGGAGTTGACTGTTTCCTATCCCTTTTTAGCCCATTCAAAAGAATCTCCCCAAATCTTATTTACATTGGTAGATTTAGTATGTGTATGTGTGGGGGGGGGGAGGGTGTATAGGTTGACCTTTGATCACTACCACAGTCAGTTTTCTTTTTGTCCTGTCTCTCTAGAGCTCAGGCTAAGGTCTCAATTTCAGTTCCTGTCTACTTACTTTCTTTTTACAAATATATTCAGTTCTCTCCCTGTGTGTGTGTGTGTCTCTCTCTTCCTTTTTTCTTCTTTCCTTCCTCTCTTTCTTCCTCTCTTTTTCTTTCTTTTTCACTGTAATATATAGCCTAGGTTAACCTGAAACTAGCTTTCAGTCCTGTCTTAGCTTCCCAAGTGCTATAATTGCAGACATGTCCCACCATGCCCTTCCATATATTAATATATTCTTTTACTTACCAACTTAAAACATTTCTCTCAGATACTACCAGTTATTTACTATTTCAAATTCCATTTTTTTTTAAATATATGTTTTATGGGTGTGAATGTTTTGACTGCGTATTTATGTTCACTACATGTGTGTTTGGTACCCAAAGTAGTTAGAAGAGAGCATCAGATCTCCTGGAACTGGTACAACAAGTGATCATGAACAGTCACATAGGTACTGGGACTCAAACCTGGGTCCTCTGCAAGAGCAACAAGTGCACTTTACTGTTTGCCAAGCCATCCCTCCAGCCATCAATCTCTTTGTTTCTTAACCCATTTCTCATGGGACCTCTGCTGCCCTTGACTGCTTAGGCCTACAAGCTGTCTTTTCCTGGTATCTGAAATATTGCACTTCCCTGTCACTCCTCTTTTCCTGGTTCGTTCCTTGGTTTAATAGCACAGTAGTTGTGTGCTAGGAATATGTTGAGCCCAGTTCTGAATGCAGTATGTAGCTGCCTTACACATGAGTCCCAGGAGCTGATATAGTACTCTGACTTCACAAAGAAGCAAACCAGTACTGAGGCATTAGCTTTCCAAGATCAGTAGCCTATAACGTGGCAGAGCCAGGATCCAGACCTAGAGTGTCTGGCCACTGTGTTACTCTTAAATCATAGACCTCATCTTGGCATTTTTACACAATGTTCCTCATGCCTGTTAGTTCAACATGTGGGCACACACATAATAAATAGCACTGCCAAGGTGGAATGAGTTACTAGATCCCTATCTCCAGCTCAGAACTTTCAGCTAAATTCCAAGTCTGTATTTCTAAGTATGTACAAAATCTCTTCCAAGACATCCCATCAGTACCTAGAATTGAAATATGTCCAACTGAACTTACCCCCACCAACTGCTGCTGCTTTATTACAAATGCTTCATCATCTTCCCACTCACAAATCAGAAACCTGGAAGTTAGTTTTCCTCTTCCTCAAACTATCATCTGTCTCACCGACTTATATCCTCCTCCGTGTCTCCCTTTTTAGATGTCCTCATCTCCAGCACTGTACCCACAAGCTTCTAAATGATCTCCCAAGTAAGCTTTTCTACGCTCGTCTGTCTTCTGTGCTGTAACTACAAGTGCTTGAAAAAGACAAACCTGGTTGTATGTTCCCTCTGCTTAGTCACCTACTGAAGTCCAGACCATGTAGGGGCAAATAGGAAGCTGCCACAGCCTGGCAGGGACACCTCTACTTAACCACTTGCCTCCCATGCTCATTGCTACTCCTAAAACTGTTTATGCCCGGGCGTTTCCCTCCCCAAACTTAGTGTGTCACCCCATCCAGCTGCAGAGTCACCATCTATGATGTCAACCTTATTCCATCTTGGCCGTCACTTACTGAAGGGCAGCCTTACTCCGCTTTGGTTTCATCTTGTATTCTATATTTAGGGTCAAGGCCAGCATCTCCTCATTAAGGTAGCTCTGTGGAGATACATCTCAGTCTCCTGACAAAGACTGTCAGGAGGAAGAGTCACATGTCTTGACCAACTCCAGTTGTCAAAAATAATTGTATATAAGAGTATATTTTAGGCTCGAGAATTTTCCCCTCTCTTGGCTTTGTTCCAGAGTACCTAATAGCTCCCTCGTTGTAAGGTAGAACTATTTTTCATGAGGTATTTGTACTCGTTTAGCTTTCTGTTTCTCACTTAGCTCCTTATGCTCCTATTTGGGGCCCTTCACAGCCTGCCAGCACCTTTTCAAAGAGTGGGAAGACCTTAAATCACTGATGAAACTAAACCAAGTCTTTCAGGTTTTCTTCCTCTGTAATCTTTGGTAATAATAAACTAATTTGGTAATTAGATATAAACTTTGTGTGTGCTAGTCTACATTCAGTTACTTCTTTAGGGAGGTTAAAAGTGAAGAGTTGTACTATCGGCGTATCCGCCCATGAAGACACACACTGATTCTTTAAAAGCTGGCAACCTCAAGCAGGCAGCTAGTACATGCATGTTAGCAACACTAAGTGCACTCAGCAGGCTGGATTTACATGTGAGTCTGTGTGTTGAAGAAGGAAAACACAGCTGGCAAAAGAAGCTAAACCATGAAGCCCGACAGCATACACAACCCAAAGCAAGACAGAGGCAGGCACAGCCCAATTCCTTGAAGCTATGCCTACAACTTATATAGTCATGTGTTGAAGCTGCTTTATAGTAGTCTTGCCCTTTCACAAAGCTTAAGTTTTAGGGAGACCAGTTCTTCTGGAATGCTTTTAAGGGCTGGAGTACACCTGGGTGGGAAAGCCCTTGCCTGGCATGCATGAGGCCCTGGCTTGCTTCCTAGCATGGATGGGGACAGAGGGAAGAAGAAAAAATGAACTCGAACCCAAGATTATCTGACAGCTTACATTTTCTGGCCCAGGTGTGGAGGTGCAATACCCGCATTCATGTGCAGAGTCCAGCCTGTCCTCCATGCTCCTCTCTCAAAAACAATACAGATGTATTTTTCCATATTTAAGAAGTACTTTTATATAAAAAGTGTTGTTTCTAAGAATTCTGCTCATATCATTTTATAATTCACAAAAAAGGTAAAGATAGAAACTGTGAAGTTTGGGGAGAACCTTCTGTTTTCTAGAAATGTGGAATGATCATTTTGGTTTTAAGCAGATTTGTATACTAACTTGGAGGCTCCTATTAAAAGAATAGAAACTGATAAATTCTACATTCCTTGGATTCTTATTTTATAATGAAAAATTTAAATGTATAAATAGCCAGGTGTACTTAAGTAATTAAAAAGGCATCCAGTTATTTTAAACAATTATAAGCATTCTGAGCATATAAATTAGCATCTCAAGTTCCTTCATATCAAAATTAATACAAAACAGTGAGCTAGAAGATTTTGGAGAAACAAAATTAATGTTTTTCCTACCGATAGCTCTGGAGACTGACAGACTTCCATTCACCCTCCAGGCACCAAACCAAACTACACAACCTCCAAGGGCCTCAATTCGCTGCTTTTCATCCTAAAGAGCAGTGCAATAAAAAGCAAATAACTGGATTCAGGATTTATTCTTTACAGTAAACAGATATACTGCCCATCATCTCATTAGAAAGTCTACGAAAAGGCTTTCTGTACCTCATAAAGACTTCATTAGTAACTACAAAACTGCTGTTACGACATGCTCTATTAGAACCGATCATACATACCTCTCTGTCTGGCTTGTGTGGTTTCATTAGTTCAACAGCTTGGCCCTTCCTCACAAGCATAACCTGGGAATCGCCCACCCATGCCACGTGGAGCATGTTGCCTCTGATAAAAGTCACTACTCCTGTGGTACCACATCGTAAGCTCTGAAAATAATTTAACACAAGTCAAAGAAAAGACACTGCGTTTTCACTGAGAAGCAATTTACAGTTAATACAAGCTGCATTTGAGAGAGACTATTAGTAATATTATTTCACATTACAAATTTGTGTTCTCAGAGCATTTTTATTTTTGACAAAAAGGTCTAACTTATGTAGCCCTGGCAGCCTGAAACTTATTACGTAGACCATGCTGGCCTCAAACTTACACAGGTCTGCCTGTCTCTACCAAGATTAAACATGTGCGCCACCATGCCTGCCTCAGAAGTTTATGTGCATTTGTGCTTACACACAGATCCACTTGATCTGTAATAACAAAACAACTGTACTCAGGGGCTGGAGAGATAGCTCAGTAATTAAGAGCACAGGCTGCTCTTCCAGAGGACCCATATGGTGGTGGCTCACAACCATGTGTAACCTAGTCCCAGGAGATCCGATGCCTCTTTTGGCCTCCATGGGCATTGCATGGTGCACAGACGTACACACAGGCCAAAGACTCATACTCCTAAAATATAAATTATCATTTAATTAAAACTGGACCAGGTGAGGGGGCTCAGAGGTTGAAGGGACTTGCTGCCAAACTGATCCCTGACACTCAGTGCTGTGGACATAAAGAACCACCTCCTGAAAGCTGTCCTCTCCTCCACATGCACGCTCACGCGGACACACACACACATAGAAGATACATGTATGTATGTTTTAAAACAGCATATTTTGTGACTTGTCCAAGGGCTGGTAATCCGGTTTAGTATGCAAAACACCTGAATATCTTTGTTCTTTCCAGTTCACTGTTAAATCTCTTCATCAGCTGTCTGTCTCTTCCTCCCTCCCTTCTTCTTCCTCCCTTCCTTTCCTTTCCTCTCCCCCTCGCTTTCTCCCTCTCCTTTATACACAGGGTCTCACTGTCACTCCAGCTGGCCTGGAACTCATGGAGATCCTTTACCTCTGCTTCCCAAGTGCTGGGACTAAAGGTATGTGCTACCATACCCAACAGCCCTTTTCTAGTTCTAGTCTGTTTCACTTCTGACCTGCTGGGTAGAGGTGGTAGGTGTGTGTGTATGTGTGTACAAAGCATTTGCTTCATACAGAAGAAATGCTCCCAGTCTCTGGACATTATGGAGCCAAGACAGCATATGCTCACTGAAGAATATATGCTTATATACCTTTAAAAACACAAACTAGAAAAATCTTCCCTACAGTATTTTTAGGGAGCTTTGACTGGGAACACTGCATAGAGACCTAACAGCCTGGGATTCCACTGCAGTGGCTACCACAGTCTTACAGCTCTTGATCCTGCTATACTAAAATGACATCTCCAGTTGACATGAGTCACCACCAAATGAGCATGACTCTCTGTTACTAAGGACCTGGCCCAAATTAGAATGAGTGCGTCAGGGGTGGTAAAGGGCTTCTTGTATCCAATGAGAAAAACAACTTTTCTTTTTCCCTATATAGGAAAAGTTTGTTATAAATCCTCACCCACCAATAAAATGTCTTCCCACACAGAATGTTCAAAAACTCAGCCCTCTGGAACACACGATAAAGACACTTGAGTGCATATGCCCTGGAGAGAACAGGAGGCAGGCTGCTTCACAACAGGAATAGCTACTTTTCTCAGCAGTAAGCAGCACATGGAAGCACAAGAAGGAAAAAAGCGACTGCTGAGAGGACCCTGAATTATTCAGGGGAACCATCGGCAGGACTGACACACAGCACCACTGACAGAGCAAGTGAGGGAAGTAGAAAAACCGGAATGTAGGATTTAAAAAGACAGAGCGATTACTGCCTCACATTGGTGATTGCAGATGACCCCGCCTCCCCAGGCTCACCTTGTCCCAAGGCTGAGAGCCATCAGCCTCCAGAGAGGCAGAGCAGAGGAAGGGCTGAGCGGACCTGGGTTTTCTTTTCAGTCCACCTCTACCTGTGGATCGTAGTTGTTCCTGTGGGTAATTTGTGTTTCAATCCAAGCTTAGGGGTCAAGGTAGATACTTCTCTTGCTTCCTACCAAATAGTTCTCCATTATTCTTTGATTCATTCCCAGCCTCACTACTGCTGTGCAGCATAACTGAGAGCAGGGAAATGAACCATATAATCTGATGTTTCTGTTTTAAAAGTTCCCGTCTTGAGTCCTGTGGCAGAAGGGTTAGCTTTCTGTGTCTTAATAGGTAGTCACTTTTGAAAAGTTAAAAAAACAAACAAAAAGCCTGAACATTTTCTGTTGCTCTCCCCAGCTAAAAATCCAACAGAGTATCCTAGGTAATCATGTACCAGCACCCAGAATGATAATGATAAATTTAACATAGAACTCCTGAATTTCATTCAGAGCAAAACACTGAGGTCTGACAAGCCTTAGGATATGAGTTCCTGTGTTTCCTTCCTATGAAGAGAAAATCAGTTCAAGGATCATCTAAGGACTCTCCCTCTCTCTACTTAGGAAACCACAGCTTACTCATGCAGAATCAAACATGTGGAAGTAATCCCAGTTTCTGTTTCTTTTTTAAAACTATTGTTTTCAGTTCACCATATCCAGATTGTGAGTACTTAGAGAGGTGGTCCAAGTTTGAAGCTGGCGGGCAGTGGGGGGAAAAGAAGCAACACTCACCTGCCAGATCCAGCAGCAGCTCTAGAAAGGGGCTAGAAATCCACAGCCCGGTTTCCTTTACAAAATGAGGGAACTGGATTTAGAAATGAGCAGAGTCCAGCCTGGTGGCTCAGGTGAGTGAGTGTGTGTCTGTGTGCGTATACAGTTTAGATAATATGTGCCCAGAAGGAAAAAAGGTCAAAATAGCCCTTTAACCACAGACACTGGTTGAACTCTGCTAGTGCACTTGTGGCTGGAGTTCGCAAGGACGTGGCATACCTCCCTGGCTGCCTTCTGCACAAACCGCTCATCCGTGACCCGGAAGGCCCGGCAGAGAGCCTCAGCAGGATCATGGGGGAACATCTCCTGGCGCACTAAGTTAACGTGTAGGTGAACAGAGGCATAAATGGCAGCGTCCACTCCCCCGTGGCCATCAAACACTGCGAAGTAAGCTTGTTCCTCCTGGTCCTGTCAATAGGGACACAAAACAGTTAAGGAATAGAACACAGTACCATCCAAGTGATCTGATGCCCTGGAAACATCCCTCCTCTACTGCGTTTGTCGTTCAGATAATGAGACTCAATGTTTCCTTTTGCTGACACTCCTGATCAGCTGCTGAGTACCTGCAATGCTGGGGCATCTGTGTTTATACACAGAGCCTGGAACACATCATGCCCAATTAGTGCCGGCTGGAGCGCCCTCTCCATGAAACTTGTTGTCTTGTACCATGGAAACCACCCACATGCATTTGCTTCAAAATCATAGCTATAAGTTGTGAGGAGGAATAAGGAAGAAGATATAAGAAAGAAGGGAGCAAAAGTTATTCTGTAGTGAGTACTTTTTTCAAAATACCAGAGAATAGGAAATTTCCAGCACAAGACCAATTGTGTTCTGGTTGTCTGAAATACGTGGAGATAAAAACATACACTGTTCTGAATGATAATGCCTCTTTTATGCACCATTCCTGGTCACATTGAATCCTTAGCATCAATAGCAGAGTCTCTAAACTTGTTAACCAATCTTGAACCACCTCAGATACCCAAGTGCTGTGGTGTGCCTGGCAACCTTGCTTCAGCCTCGGTCTAAGCCTCAGTGTTCCATTTCTCATAAAGGCCAGCTGCTGGCATCAACTCCTCTACCTCTGTGTTGTCTTGGGTTCACTTTTCAGCTCCCATGTTTGGGTCTTAGATCTGTCTGTGCTCTGTGAGTCACTCAGGTCTCACTGCTCTTAAGGCAGCAGTACCTGATGACATCATTTGTGAGTCTTTACATTTGTTTTTTTAGGAGTCTGCATTCTGTCATACTCTTCTTGAACAGATCTTTTCTTTGGGGTATGTTTTTATTTGCTTGTTTGCTTGCTTTAGGTTTTTAGTTTTTCTTTTTCTTCTGACACAGTGTTGTGTAACCCAGGCTGGGCTGGGTTTTGCTAGGTGGCCGAGGCTTAGGGGACCCCTCACTCTCCTGTCCCCCCCTTCACATGTGTCAGACAGATATGACACAGGCATATCCATGTTTTGGAAAATGTCCACATATAAATGTCCAGAGTATAATGGTAAAACTCAAAAATGATGAAACTTGTCATCTACTTACAGACATGAACACTAGTATGTCTTACATTTTAAGCAAAACAACTTAGAATGCCATTGAAAATGGACTCAACAATCTGGACTAAAGTAATACTCAATTTCAACAATGCAGTGTAACATAAGAAAAAACAGCAGCCAGGTGGAGTCTTTGGAAAAGTAAGCCTAAAGTCAGGGTTATGTTAGTGGTGGAGTCTCAGCTAGCATATGTATGGTCCTAGGTTTGACTCTCGGCACCACACAGACTCTCTTTTAAAATAGTGTAGTTCTAACTGTCACAGATAACCATCATATCTTTGTATCTGTGGCTTGGTTTTGTTTTGCTGGGAGTTTATTAAGACTTTTGGGTGTGTGGGACAGCATTCTACATCTGCATATATATTTGTACATGTGCATGCATGCCTTGGCTTTCTGACACAGGGTCCCGTCCTGCCTCCACCTCTAGAGTACTGGATTGCAGGTGCACACTGCTGCACCTCGCTCTGGAGCTTTTGCTTTTGTTTAGTTTTTTGTTTTTGTTTTTGTTTTGAGACAGGGTTTCCCTGTGTAGCCCTGGCTGTCCTCAAACTCTCTTTATAGACAAGGCTAGACTCGAACTCACAGAGATCCGCCTACCTCTGCCTCCGCCTCTACTGGGATTAAATGCATGCTCTACTGTATCCTTGTATTTGGCCCATGTGTTTTTAAGTAAGGATCATAGTATACAAAGAATGTTATATCCTGATTTATGTCATTAGCATTTCTGTGCTGCTAAGTAATATCTTGATTAGATTATGAGACACATCTCCCTTAATTATTTTTAGGTCATTTCTGATTTATTTTTTATTAATAATGTTGTTGGAACACTTTTGTCAAACACATATTTAAGACTTTGCTGTATTTCTATTGTGATGAATTTTGGGTGAAGTTACCAGATAAAACAGTATAAGAACTTGCAAAGCACTAAATAATTGCTGCTAAATAATTTTCAAAAGCTGCTTTCGTGCATAAGACAACTTCTTCTTTGAGCTATGCTTCAAATTTGGAGACAAAATGAAAGCCAACCCAGTTAACCTCCAGAAGTAAGACCTTCCAATCTGAGCATGCTCTTCAGGCAGCTGTAGTTTCATGGGGACTGTTTGGCACATAGCCTCTGGGTTACATTTGCCTGGACACAGCACTTGGAACAAAAATACCAGGTCCTGTCCTTCTGCGCCCCGACTGCCAGCCTGTTATCACTCCTGTAGCCCTTGACAGGCAGCTGAAATTTAAAGGTAGCTCCTAAGGGAAGGGAATATTATTCTGTGTATAAATTACTACACTGCCATTTTCAAGTTATGGACTTAAAAACGGAAAGAAAGGGTGAGTGACAAGCAGAGGAAACAAACCCACCTTTGTTTGCATTAGCATAATGCATTTGATAGAAAAGAAGATAGCAAGAAAATGGATCCAGTCTGTCAGTCACAGAATTTGTAGAATGTAACTCCATCTACTTCTATCCCAGAAACCCAGATTTAAAAAAATCAGCCTTAAATTTATTCTTTTATGTTGTGTTTTCTGTTGCTTCAGCAACATGGTATTCTGAGAATTTAATAAGTCACTTGATGTGACTTATTCTACAGAAAAACTCTCCTTTTCAAAAAACGTTATTCCGATATAATGATTTTCTTTGGTTGCTAATAAAATAGCATTAGAAGCTTCCCCAGAAACTGGTACTTCCCTTGCTTTCCTGGGTAGGAACTGGCTGTCCAGAAGAGATTTTTTACTTTCCCAATTTTGAACCATGTGAACCTGTTAAAAATAACATTCCCAGGCTGGAGAGATGGCTCGGTGGTTAAGAGCACTGTCTGCTCTTCCAAAGGTCATGAGTTCAATTCCCAGCAACCACATGGTGGCTCACAACCATCTATTATGTGAACTGATTCTCTCTTCTGGCAGGTGTAAATGCAGATAGAACACTTATATATGTTAAAAAAAAAATAACATTCCCAATTTGGAATGATTTGAACTTACTCAAAATAACAAAAAAGTTCTGTTTCTAATGTAGCAGCCTCCCTGTGTCCTTTGAGTGGCAGGACACCAGTCCTTCTCTGGCAGGACCATGTCACACCGTCTCCGAGAAGGCCCATTACCTCTAGGTTGAAGAGCATGTTAAAGTCAGGAATGCAGACGTGCTTGTCCTCCATCTTCCTTCGCATGTTTTTGATGGCATGGATTGACGTTTCATAATAAATCTGAGGCCTCCTGCGCAGAGGGAAGTCCTTCACCCAGCTGCAGCAGATCTCGTGGAGCTTGCTGAAGACCGAACGGGCCAGTTTCATCGTCTCAATTTCTGTGAAGGAGGTAGAGACCCCAGTAAAGAGCTGTGTAACCCTGCTTTCCACTTCCCTGCTCGGTAAGGACAGAAGTTCACCTCAGTCAAGCTCAAGGAAAGGGAACAAACACTGCTTCTGAAGAGAGGAAATGGCAGTCTTCCTAGGAGAAAACCATCAGCTGCCACCAACATCACCCTCTGAGGCAAGAGAAAACCTCTGGTCAGGCTAGCCTTGTTTATAGCATGCTCTCCAGCCCTCTGCTGTCTAAGCCAGAGCACCCTTCACTGTGGATGGCTGCTATGGTTATCCATGGAGAGCCACGCCTTTTGGGCTCGGAAGAATGACTGAAACACAAGCACTGGGCACCTTCAGCCAGTTGGACCAGGAAAGACTTGAAAACACACACACTGCCGACTCTCTCTTCCTGATCTCTGTGTCTTCTCTCTGCTGAACAATTTGACAAGTTGTAGCGAATTCCAACTCCATCATTTGTAACAGTTATATATTTTCTTTAATGGTAAACTTTTAGGCAGTAGTTTAGCCAATCAGGTGATAATTAGCATGTTAGAGGCTTGTTTCTCTAGGAGAGGCAACCCAAATTCCATCTGCATATAGGAGTTTTCACCTAGTGTACTACTTTGATTTTTAAATTATTCTTTTTAGTTTTTATTATTGCTGCTTGAGTCAGGATCTCACTATGTAACTCCGGCTGTCCTGAAACTCACTCTATAGGCCAGGCTGACCTGAAATCCACAGATATTCAACCTGTCTCTGCTTTTCAAGGGTTAGGACTAAAAGCTTGTGTCACCGTGACAATCTTTATTTATTTATTTTTAATTAATTGATTTACTTACTTTTAAGTCAGGCTCTTGCTAGGTAGCTCAAGCTGGCCTTGGCCTTGAATTTGGGACAGTCATATTGCTTCACCTTCCCAAGCGCTGGGATTGTAGACGCACGCCGCCACATCACCTGGCTTCTGAAGCACACGATCAGTGTGCACTGAAGACACTATAGCTAACATTTTCAACCATCTAGTTAAGCTGTCTTCCACCTAGTTTGTAGCTACTCAGATAAGCAAAAGATTAGGTTTTCAGTACTTCAGATGTTCCTCCTATATATCTCAGTTAAAAAAAAAAAAATACTCCCAAAAGTTGCTTTACTAAATCAGACACAGCTTGACAGCCTGAGGAAGTATGTGGCAGACGGGCAATGGCTGCAGATGCTTCCTGTAGCCTAGAACAGAAACCCCAAAGGAGAGAGTGTGCGTTCCTCAGCAGCGCGGAACCTGGACTTCCGTTTCTGTTCTTATGCATAATTCTTACATCATTTTTCCTTCTGTCTTGTAGTGCTCAGGCTAGAACTCAGGGTCCTATACGTGCCAGACCAACACCGTGAGCACACTGTGCCTTCTTGAGATAGAATTCCTCTGTAGAGCCCAGGCTGGCCCACATTTCGAATCATCACATCCAATACAAACTCAAATTCATTCTCCCTTAGCCTCCTCAGTACTGGGATTATAGGTGTGAGCCTCTATACCAACTCAGTTACTTTAAAATGATTATTTTCAGAAAGCTAGTCTCAAAGATTTTATTTCTGTTTTTCTTTATCATTAATATACAACAGTCTTAGCTTATGACTTTTGAACCCTTTAATAGTTGTCTATGTGTGTTTGTTGGTTTGCTTTGAGACACTCAGTGTCTCTCCAGTGCTGTTATCTATGAGCTAGCAGCACCAGCCTCTCCTTGTCAGTTTTCCATAACTGAAAAGTAATGGCATATTTGAGAGAAATGAAGTTCAAAGAGCAAATACTCCCTGAGGAGTTAATACAAGAAATAAACAAGCCAATAAACAGCTAGATATTTTTATTGCTTTAAGCAACTCCAAATGTTTGCTCTTTTTAAGTTCTAGCTCTCAGGAGAGACACCCCAACCCCCAAGCAGACCTGACATGAGTGTGTCCTTATTTGACACAATCACTAAAGAGGGTCACAAGACAAATGAGTCCAGAAACTTCAAGGGGGAACGGGACTGGATGGAAAATTTTATGTTCCAGATTCCCAGTAATATAAAGTGTTCCTTCATTCTTTGGTTTGCATATCGCTGTCATTATTTCCACCCACACTGTCCAGTAAGGGAGCTAATAAAACTTAAACGTGAAAGGCTAGAGAAATGGCTCATGGTTAGGAGCACTGGCTGCTCTTGCAGAGGACCCAAGTTCAGTTCCCAACACCAGCAGAGCAGCTGACAACCATCTGTAGAGCAGGGGCTCCAGTGCCCTCCTGTGGCTCGTGGCGGTGAGCACAGACAGAGTGCACACACATAAAAGGAGACAAAACAGTCCTACAGAAAGTAAAAGGTAAGTAAATAAGCATTAGGGCTGAAGAGGCCTGGTGGTTGCGCAGTTAAATGCTGCTCCTGGAGAGGATCCAGGTCTGGTTCCCAGCACACACAGGGCTCCGCACAGCTGCCTATAACTTCAGTTCCAAAGCGTCTGAGACCTTGGCCTGGGCTCTGAGGGCACCAGGCTGAGTCGTTTCAAGTGTTAGATGACTGGCTGTGGCGAATGGCTGTTACCGGGCTGCGGCACCATGCCCAGCTTTTCTAGGGCAAACAGCCACTAGTCTGCCCCTGTTTCCCCGTCACTTGCTCCTGGTGTTGGTGTTTGTTACATGTTGACCACTCTAACTTTTAAAAAAAATATTTCTTTTTAATTGGGGAAGAGCTGTGCATGTGAGCTCCGAGGCCAGAGTCATCAGATCCCCAGAGCTGGAGTTGCAGATGTCTGTGAGCCACTTGGTATGGGAACTCTGAATTGAATTCGAGTTGCCTGCAGGAGCAGTAAAGACCCTAACCCACTAAACCATCTTCCCAGCCCCTGTTGTAACTCTTGAACCACGTTTTGTAACAAGAGATAGTTCTGATAATATTTATTAGGTATTGCGTGTCCCTAGAATACTTCACAGTGTAAATTCTGTTAAAGCAGATAGACTGCTGAAATTGTGCTTGAAAAGGCACGGTGCAGCCAGGGCGCGGTCTGATGACCACAGCCCTTGGCACAGCTACACGCCCCTGCGTGTGTACCCTTCCCTCATGTGCCCCTGTACCTCTACAGTGATAACGTGCTTACACCTGAAAGTATGCTGTAATATCAAAAGGCTAGTTTTCCTTTCTCTTAATCTTACTAGTTTTTATCTTGTTTGTGTGTTTGGGGGTGTATATGTTTGTGTGTGGTGTGGAGACTAGAGGGCCGTGTTGTCCAGTCACATGTCACCTTGCTGTTTGAGTTAGGGCCTCACTGGATCTGAAGCTTACTGGCTCAAGACAGCTGGCTGGTAAGCAGCAGGCGTTTCCTGTCTCCACTTGCCCAAACTGGAATTACAGAGGCAGACCACCACGCCCAGCTTTTACATAGTTGCTGGGGGTCTCAACTCGGGTCCTCATGCTAGCATGTTCCCGAATGAACCACATTCCCAGCCCTTTACTATTCATTTTGGAAAGTTTAGTTTAGCCAGGCATGATGCCCAAGACTGTAACCACATTACTAAGGGGGTCAGATCAGGACCAAAGCCAGCCTCTACCACAGAATAAGTTTGGATCTAGCCTGAGCTACATGAAGTCCTGTCTCAAAAGCCAATTTTTAAAAAGAAAACCATTTTTAAGGGGCTAGAGGAATGGCTCAGTGGTTAAGAGCACTGGCTGCTCTTCAGGGGACCCAGTTTCAATTCCCAGCACCCACATGGCAGCTCACTCCAGTTCCAGGGGATCTGATGCCCTCTTCTGGCCTCTGTGGGCACTGTAAGCCCATGGTGCACAGAAGTACATGGAGGCAAAGCACTCATTGACATCAAAATTTAGAAATAAAAATGTTTTTAAAAATAAAAAGGTTTTAAACAACCATAAAGAGGGTTTTGTTGTTGTATGTTTGTTTGGAGTTTGTTGGTTTTTTCAAGACAGTTTCTCTGTGTGGCCCTCGCTGTCCTAGAACTCACTCTGTAGACCAGTCTGGCCTCCAACTCAAGAGATCCGCCTGCCTCTGCCTCCTGAGTGCTGGACTAACGGCGTGCACTGCCACCACACCGGGTTTTAAAGTCCTCTCTGTGGGGCAGCGTGCTCTTCCCCACTGTAATGTGCGGGCCAACAGGGCCCCTGAAGAGTCTTCCTTGTGCAGTTCACACCTAGGGGTTTGTGCTAAATGAATAGGGGATTTGGAGAGAGTTGAGAATCTCAACAGCATGGAGATGTTTCCGAGTGATCAATGACATCCCTTTTTAAAATCTCTCCGTGTTGCCTCTGCCATCGTGGAAGGCGCAGTGCTTCCCCAGACGCAGCATTTGGGGCAGCACTCAGTCCTGAGGGTCTCCAGCAGGAGTGCTGGAGGACTTCAGTGTATAAATAATAGCCACTTGGAAGGGAAAAATAAAATAAGGGGCGTGAAAAAGTGAACACCAGCCAAGTCGCAGTCCACCCCCTCACAGCTGTAAATTACTCGTCAGTCGTAATGTCGCTGTGCCGAGCTGCAGCTGAGTCAGCCGTCACCCGGCTGCGGTGAAGCAGAATTTAAACTCTCGTCTCTACATTACAAGAGCTTTATACGCCAGCATCAGAGGAGAAGACTGGGGCTTTGTAGAAGGATTCTATTCAGTTTGGCTCTGGGACAGCTTGGTTCTAGGTGAATCTGTTTCTCTTGGTAAAAACAAGTGATAACTCCCTCCTCCACAATTTTCTGTCACAGTCGAGAGAGACAGGAAGAATGGGAATGCCGCACTTTCTATTTATAGCAAATGCTTTGTTCCCTGTGTACCATGTTGATGGGCAAAGGCTTAGACTAGAACAGGCGAGCTAGGCACAGTGACACATGCTGTGATCCCGGGGCTCCAGAGACTGAAGCAGGGTAGTGAGTTGAAGGCCAGCCTGAGGCTACACAGTTGAGACCGTGTCTCAGAGCTAATAAATACCAATAAAATATCATGCTCAAAGCTTTGGAGTGCTGTGCTAGGATGTTACTCTGTTGATAGAACACATAATTTTAAGATATTCCAGGTTCATTTCCCTGCACCAAAAGAACATGGTGGGGCACTCGTGCTCGGATTTTATAAAAATAGTTTCTTTATCTTTTTCAAGTATGTTTAAATGCAATTAACCGGAGGCCAGTGTTGACACGGGCCCTAACCCAGCTGCTTGGGCTGCTGAGGTGGGAGGGCAGCTTGGGCAATTTAGCCAGACTCTGTCTCAAAACAGCATTCACAACAGTGGGTGGGTGTGCGTGCGTGCGTGTGTAGCTCCATGTCCAAGGCTTGGGCTCAATTCCACTGGTGCCAGCAGTGAAGGAGGGGGTGACTGTTGAGCCTCAAACCTTGATATCAACAAAGATGCACAATGATTGGTGCAAATAAATAGCATGACATATCTGTCGAAGCTCAGTTTTAGCAGGCATAAAACTTAACAAGGTTGGTGAGTTTTGTTACAACTTTTAAAAACTCTGGTATGCTCTTGTTTTCTTCAAGAGAAGCTAAACATCTTAGAAGAGATGGTGCATTTGGGGTGTTGAGCCATAGATTAACAGAACATTTTTACACAGGTTTTCCTCGTGCTTCTGTTTTTCTCATGCTGTTTACTGTGCATCAAACTCTCTTAGTTGGGACTAAGTCCTTGGCTGAGTCTAGCACACCTAGGCTCCAGTGACCTTCCACCCTGGTCCCCAAGTAGCTGGGACTTCAGGTACACACTACTGAGCTCAACTCGGATATCTGTTCTCATTCCTTACCAGATACCAATGTCAGTTTTCCTGTTTCTATTCATTTCCGTGTACTGGTTTATCACTCATATATGTATTTTTTCTTGCCTGTTTTTATTTATTTTTTTTTAAGAAAAAAAAAAAAACTCCCTAATACCATTGTATAGTCACTAGTGGGTATATGTGATTGGATTTACCATGCCACGTATTTTCTGTATCGCACTATCCATGAGAAAGGTTTGGTGTTAAACAAGAATGGAGAAAGTTGCTCACCCACAGTGCCTTCTGTGCCGTCCGTTTCCTTTGGGATACAGTGAGCAGAAAGGTCACTCTGGAGGACTTCATCTGACGTGGCTCTGGCTAAGGCAGCAGCCAGAAAGGAAGGGCAGTTACTGAAAGAGAAGCACAGGCTATCTTCAGCAATAACTCAGAAGTGGTGCTTCATGTAATACACACCATGCGGTACCATCCCAGAACTGTCCCTTAGAAACCAGGAAGTGATTGTGTGTCAGCTGACTGACCCTGCTCAGTGCTGGGCAGACACTGACTGTCACAGGGCTCCGCCAGCCAGGCAGACAGGCAGCAAACCTGAAGGTGAGATAAGCTTTATGAAGGAAGCGATGGTGATACCTACTTCGATTGGGTGGCCAGTCATGCCGTACCCTTAAATATAAAAACGATTAGGTTATGAGGAAGTGGAAAGGCAGGGTGACATACTTCAGACTAGCATGCCTTTATAAGAGCTTGTGAGAAGTCACAAATCTCTGAGCAAGGAAGTGCCACAATGAGATAGGAACTGAAATCTTCCCTTGCTTTTCTGTGCCAAAGAAAATTAGAATGTAGCAAGAATGAAACAAGGACAGTGAAGGACATAGTGAAGATGGATGGATGGAAGGAAGGAAGGAAGGAAGGGGAAGAATTAGTAGGCAGGGCAGGAGGAGGACCATGAGGAAGAACAGAATGGGGAGAGACATCAAGAGGAAGACAGGAGGGTAGGTTTTGGAGAAAGCTGCTGTGGAACTTGTTGACAGTTGGGCTGAAGTGAAGGACAGAGTTTGAGCAGCTAAGTGCAAGAACAGGAACTAGGTCAAGAGGTTTGAGGATATGGGCTAACAGAAAACAAGAGCTCACTTTAGCAATGTTAAGCTGGAAATGGTGATGAGATATCTTACAAGGGTATAAAATTATGAACTGGGTATTTCAGAGGCGCTCACATATTAGAAGACCGAGAATCACAAGCACACGGTTTCTTTACAGCTATAGGAATAGAATTACGTAGGGAGAATCAGGAAGACAGCTGCTCCATGCTCTAGCATGTCTTTATGTGCTATGGAAAGTGGGGCAGAATATTTGCCTTGTGGGAAGTTTGCAGGTTAAGCGCGAGTGTAGACAAAGAGCTGTGAGCTTGGGATCTCGCTAGCACGCAGATCTTGACTCTCAAGCCTGAGCCTGATGCATCATGGGATGAGTCTTTGAGAGACATTAGGGGAGAGGAAGAAGGGATGTAGCACGTGTAGATGCTGGGAACCGTGACCAGAAGGCTGTGCTGTGGCGTACTGCTTTTCTGTAGTGCTGTTTCTGGTCCCACATTCTGTTTTTGCATGCTTGGCTCTTAACTCGGGCCTCAGGCATGCTAGCCAAGCGCTTTGCCATGGAGTTCCAGCCCCAGGCCCCGTGCTATTTTAGAACCTCGTCATCTCACATAAAGTCTGTTACTTTTCCTTTATATGTGGTTAAGACTTGAGAACTTTGGGGGGGGGGGGTCCGCAAAAGTAGGCTCCCTGGCTATCCTAGCTTCTTGCTTTCTTCCTCTCTTTCCCTCTAGATTGCTTGGTCTTGGAACCCAGGAAGTTCAAGCCAGTCAACCTGGAGAGACAGCATGTACAGGGTCACATGGATACGAACTGAGGCCCCTGCCCCCAGCTAACAGCCACCATCAGCTGCCTGACGTGTAAGTGTACAGAGCTTCAGGCAACACCAGTCTCCAGCCCTGAGGCCTCAGATGTCGTGGAACAGAGATGGGAACTCTGCTCTACCAGTCTAAAATCCTGACCAAAGGAAACTATAGTATAATAAATGACTTTATTATGCCACTAAGTTTTGTCTTTTGTTTGAAAGCCAGTGTTACGGCTAGAAAACAGGAACTATAGAGACTAAAAAGAGCCAGGCGTGGTAGCTAGCACACGCCTTTAATCCCAGCGCTCCAGAGGGCGAGGCAGACAGTCTGTGAGTGAGCCAGCCTGGCCTACCAAGTGAGTTCCAGGCCATCCAGGCTACACAGTGAGACCCTGTCTCAAAAAAAAAAAAAAATACTCCCCCTCCCCTTCCAAAAAAAAAGCCTTAAAAGCTAGAGTAAGAGGAGAGCCACAGATGTTGAGTGAAGGAGGGAATGGCTGACTATCACTCCTGCTGAAAGGCCAACTGGGGAAGAAGAGGGAATATGTATTAGCATGTAAAGTCATCACTGACTGGGTGCCTCCTCAATGAGAGGGAAAGCATCTCAAAAAAAAAAAAATGGTACTGGGGGAAAATAAGTAGGGTCTCCATATATAAAAACCTCAATTCAAAGTTCATCGCGTGGAGGCCTCTCAGTGTAGAATGCTTGCCGGGAGTGCACAGGTCCTGACCCCCATAAGCGCCGGTGTGGTGTCAGACACTGGGACCCTCTATACTGTTAAGTGGGAGGGCAGAACAGTGCAGCTGCTTTGGCAGCACCCTGAAATTCGAGAGGAAAGTCCTTACATGGTGGCTCAGTGATTCTTGTCCGAGGTTTATGCCTTGGAAGTGAAAGTACACATCCACACGAACCCTGAGTCCCCAAAACTCTCAAGTCTTACCACATATAAAGGAAAAGGAACTTTATGTGAGATGACGAGGTTCTGAAATAGCACGGGGCCTGGGGCTGGAACTCCATGGCAAAGCTCTTGGCTAGCCTGAAGCCCGAATTAGAACCAAGCATGCAAAAACAGAATGCAGGACCAGAAACACTGCTGGCCTGCTACAGAAAAGCAGTCTGCCACAGCGAAATCAAATGCAGCAGAGACAGAGTGGAATGGCCTTTTCAGTTTATCTTACGAGTAGGGGCTCTTGGCCAGCTTGTGTACCTGTGTGAGCCTGGTGCCCGCAGAGGCAAGAGGAGGGCATCAGATCTCCCGGAACTGGAGTTGCAGGTGGTTGTGAGCTGCCGTGTGGGCGCTGGGAGTCAAGCCCAGGTGCCCTTACACTGCTGAGCCTTTTCTAGAACCACTGAGTAGAACGGCTTTTAGCCATTAAAAGGGCAGAGCAGTAGCTAGATGAACTTTACAAATACGGTAGCAGAGGACTGTCCTGAAGACCACGTATTCTAGAGATATATTTATAGGAAAAGCCTATAAGGTGCATCTGTGGAAACACTGGTGCTTCTGGGTTGAAGTCCAGTGTGCACATGGAGATGCCGGCCTCCGACAGGGTAAAGTGCCGCCTTCGCTGGGAAAGCAAGGCAAGGCGGGGAGGGCAAGCAGTGTATGTCAGGCAGGTCTTTCTGTTTGCCGTTAGGGAAGGAAGAGCAACCCCGTCGAAGTGTGACCAAGTACCTCACTGGGCATGCATGCCTCGTGCCAGCCCCTGTTCTCCTGCTCCAGGTATTTATCAACAGGAGCCATAAGCCCCTGCCCTCCTCGGGCTTACTCCAGAGGGAAGTTTCTCAGTGAAACACGAAGCTGGGGCCGCTTTTCAGGCATGAGACTCTGCTACAGATCTTCGGGGAACATTGTGGGGCCCTCCCGTGGAGGCTCTAACCCAGCAGCCTGGGTGAGGCCTGAGAATCTTCATTTCTCACAAACTCCTGGATGGTGCTGAAGCTGCCGAGAAGGTGGACAGTGCTAAGAAGCTGGTGAAGTTCGGGGTGCATGCGTTGCTCTTCCCGTCTGCTCCTGCACTAGCACAGGGTGGCCCCACCAGGTGAAGGAAAGACCGGGAAATGCTTATCTTTAAGGGTACGATCTTAATGATGGAGCGTGGACACTTACGTTGGCCAAGAGCAAATGTGGTTTAAAGGTAAATGAAGAATTTAAAGGAGTGGGAGTACTCGGGTACAAAATCTAGGACCTGTGTTACAGTCTGAGCGAAGGGCTGGTGTGGGTCACTGGAAGCTGGTGTAGTGCTTGGTGGAAAGGTCAGGAGAGACCAAAGACCTGCTTCAGAAACAGGACATTTCAGTGCTTCCTCCTCATTCCCTGGTACGTGTGTGTGTGTGTGTGTGTGTGTGTGTGTGTGTGTGTGTGTGTGTGTTCACGTGTCCAGATGCATGTCTGAGGCCAGGGAGGGTGTGTGCGCACATACACATGTCTGCACAAGTATGTTCTAAAGATGGCCGTCCGCTTTCTTTCTCTCTTTTGTGTTTGTTTTGTTTGTTTTTGAGACAGGCTCCTCCTTGGAGTTGGGGTTGATGTTTTGGGCGGACTGGCTGGCTAGTGAACTCTGCCTGTCTCTGTGGCCCCAGCACTGAGATTTCAGGCACGCGCCAACAGACGTGGTTTCCACGTGGATTCTGGGAACTGAACTCAAGTCCTCAACGTGCAGGCACTCCCCCCAAGCCCTTATCAGTACTATTTAAAATGTACTGATGCAGGTTTAAAATGTACAATGGCAGGTTATGATCCTCTGTGAATAATAAAATCATTTGAGTTGTGAGCCCTTTGTCTGTTTGTTTAAACAACACTGGGCATCGACCCTAGGGCCGCTTGCATGTTAAGCAAGTGCTCCATCACCTGAACTCCCCTCCAGCCCTTTTTCATTAAAAAAATTACAACTATTCATTCATTCATTCATTCATTCATTCATTCATTGATCTACTAAGTGTGTGTGTGGACAGTCAAGTGCCACGGTGTACCTGTAGAGGGCAGAGAACAATCTGCAGGAGCTGGTTCCTTCCTTCCTTCCACCATGTGGGTTCTGGGTATAGAACCCAGGTTATCAATCTTGGTTGCATGTACCTTAACCCCCAGGCCAGCAGTTCTCAACCCCAGTCACGATCCCTTTAGGGGTCACATAGCAAACATTCACATTATGACTCTTAACAGTAGCAAAAGTACAGTTACGAAATAGCAATAAAGTAATTTCATGGGTTGGGGGTCACCACAACACGAGGAACTGCATTAAAGGGTGGCAGCATTACGGAGGCTGAAAACCACTGCTCCAGGCTAGTTTGCTGACCTTAATTTTGATTTTGAGATGAGGTCCCTCTACATTGCCCGAACAGGCCTCAAAGTTGAGAGCTTTCTCAGCAGCTGGCACTTCAGGCCTGCACCCCCACACCCGGGTGTAACCAGTTTGTTTTTGTTTTCCTTTGCTGTGCTTGTGGCTCTGAGGCATGGCCTGCAGCTCCATACACGTGAGGCAAGCACTACCGTTGAGCTAAGTCTTACTTCAGGTGTGCGGGAGGGTCACTCTTCACAGCCATTGCTCCTTAATGGCCCTGAAGAGAAGTAACGGGACCACTTCAAGGTCCAAATGACAGTGTCTCCTCATCTTCAGTACTATGGAGACTATCGATTGATCTTTTACTGATAAGTGGAAGGTTCCCGGTACCAATATGGCTTGTACTTACATCTCTTGTGCTTTTGCTCTGATCTAATCAGCTCTTTTGTTTGTTTTTAAAGCTACATTTTAAGATGATCCAAGAACTTGGCTGTGATCTAGCTCCCTAGAGTTCCACAGGAAAATGATACCTTTTGTGTAATTAACCCATCACTCTAGGCTCATCAGAGGTAAGACTGTGACAGCTCCTGTGCCCCATTAATCTCATTAATGTGCCATTTGTGGTACACTTTTAGTTACAGCTAATCTCCTTTTTAACTTTTTGTCAGACAGAATGAAAATATTTTCAGTGAAGTAGGGAGGGAGGGTTAGCTCACCGAAGTAAGATCTCAGACATCACCTCCATCAGCTCCCTGCATGGTAAGACGTGGAAACACTCTCATGAATCATTTCTTACGGTTTTGACTGGATTGAAAGAAACTGTTTCTGAGGAATCAGAATTGCAAATATGTTTAAAGCATAGTCACATCAGAGAATACTTGATACATCTCAAATGCAAACTTCCCACTAGTGCTTGTCATTTTAAGAGAAGTAATAGGGGTGACTAAAGTAACATAGAAACCGCTCCTCCTCCATAATTACTCCTAAGGTGCTTAGAAGATGTTGCGCTTTGGCCAACATAGTAGGCGGGGCGTAGCAGAAGACAGCCTGAACTGAGGCAGTGGGCAGGCCCAGACCTAGAATGGTATTGTCGGGGGCTGGAGAGATGGCTTAGCAGTTAGGAGCACTGGCTGCTCTTAGAGGACCTGGGTCTGAGTGCCAGCAACTCAGGTGGCTAGCAACTGTGTGTGACCCCAGTCCCAGGGCTCCAGTGTTCTCTTCCGCCCTCTGGAGGCACCAGGCACGCGGAGAGTGCACAGACAAGCAGGCAGACACACACGGTAAGTGGAATCAAATGCCATCACACTGGAAGCGCTGCCGTCACTTGGCATGACCTGACTTTGGTAATGCTGGCCTTTGGGTGGCCCAGATCTTCTCAGAGCAAATTAATCGTGTTAGAATCCCCAAAAAACAACAAAACTGCAGCTTTCTGTGTTAGATATGTACAGCTATAGGACAGATTCTTATTTTTTCTACACAGCAGTTAACTTCCTTATTTATCTCAAACACCAAAGTACTAATTTTATATATTCATAGAGTCTTTGTCTATTAAGTCATATGTTACATATATAGACACTTTTTTGAACAGTGTTGAAAAATCATTAGTGTCCACCAGAAATAAAAGATTCTACTTCGTTACAGCTACTTAAAGAACACATGAGTATATATTTGAAATTTCTAATATACTTAGTTTTTCAGTGCTGCACATTATAATGCCAGAAGGTTAGCCCTGTTAACATCAGAAACTGAGCTCTTGAAATAAAACACAGGGTTTCCTTTAAAGATAATACTCTTCAAACACACGTAAACCCCCAGAAGACTATTGTTCGCAAATACCATGACTGTCACACTGGCTAGCAGCATTGTCTTCAGCTTCCAAGTATTTATTTGGAGAGCACAATCTTGCTTCTTCAAT